TAGTTTTGGGAGTATGCAGGTTTTTCAATGTTTGAGCAGTGAATGAAGGACAAGATGCTTAACAATTAGCATATTGTGTTGGTGCTCTCTGAAGCTGGGACAAAAACCAGAACATGAGTTCTTTTTGCCCAGGAGTCCTGCTGCTAACAGTGTGTAAATCAGATGAAGACTTGTACTTCTAAATGTACAGAATTACTGTTCCAGTAATGCATTGGGATTAAAATGAGTAGAGGGTTCTGGTATGGGTCTTTCTGTATTTTGTGTGGCATTTTTCAGAGTTTGAATGGAGAAGTCCTGGGATGTCTTGCCTTGGTGGGTGCTCCCATGGGCCTGCCAGTGAGAGACCTCTAATAAAGACCTACCAATAAAGACCTTTGTGAACTGGGCTGCAAGGTGGCTTGCCTTAGCTAGGAGGCTTTCCTTTGTTTCTGCTGGGCTTGGGTTAGTCCTTGAAAGAAGCATATTTTGCAGAAACATTTAAGTGGTAACACAGGCACAATAATCTCATTTTTGTCGGGGAGTTGGAGTTAGTTCTAACACGGCGTGGAACTTGCTGGAGGCCTGAGCATGTATGAAGCAGTAGAGAGAGTTTTGGTTGGAATGGGCCTGGGGAAGCAGGCTGTGACTCATTCCAAGCTGGAAGCTGAGTGACTATGGTGTTTGTTATTCTTAGGTGTAGGGGTTTTGGCACCTGCCTTCACACTAAATCAGACGTTGAGAATGTTGTAAAGGTCTGTAAATGTGTCTGTAAAGGTGCTTAGGGCTCTCTGCTTGTGCCTGACAACTTTAGGCTTTTTTCTTATCTTTTTTCCCCAGAAGACTTATAGTGTAGTGTAGGGGATGTTAATGACAAAATAGTTTCAAGACTTCAAATTTACAACCAATTAATAGTAGTAATTATTGTTTACAATATTACTTTTGCTAGGGAATGTCATGAAGTACTTACTGAGATGTGTCATACAGACATTCATGGTCAAAAGAGATTGTAATGGTCTTGAGTTTTAAGGGTTTGGCTGACATAATTTTGCAGTCTAGAGAAAGGCCTCTTTCAGCCTAGCTTTTTAATAGTGCTATGAAGTGGTCTTTTGTGTGATTTAATCACGGTCCTGTACATTGATATTTTCTTTGATGGCTCAGAGACATAAATAATATTATAGCAGTGCTTTAAAATAGTGCTTTTTCACATTGTCTAGCTTAATATACTAACTAGGGAGGCAGAAAGCAGAGCAGATATTTGTTTTCCTTTTTCCATACTGAAAAAGCTGTTGTTTGATTCTGGTTTTGCCGTGTAGATTTTTTTATGGTGACAATCATGCTGGTGAAATCATGCTGTTAGTCAGATGGAAAAGTGCATCTTTATAAAATGTCATTTGAGATACTGGAAAGTGCCTAGCTGGGCTAATGTCACTTATTCTCAGCAAATAGCTTAGATACTTCCTGCTTAGGTAGTTTCCTGGAGTCATATAGTGGTCTGCTTTAAGTCCTGCATTTGTGACTCTTGAGCTGTGACTCAGAGATTTTTTTTTCCATTTGGGGAGGAGACTAAAATAAAGATGATTTTCTACAAGTGTCCAATGCTGAATCTGACAATTTTGTAGAGAATTACTACATTTTTGTGAAAATTTTAAACCAACTCAGCCCTTTACTAGGAAATTATTCCTGCTTCGTAATGCCATCTGTTGCTTAGAAAAATTCTTCAGGAAGTTTTTTTCCCTGTAAAGCACTAAGGATATTAACATTTTCTTGCAGAACTGATTTGCATTCCTATGAAGTTCCCCAAGGATATTTCATACTGATCAACATTGATCCTTTTATTGATTTCCAGTAAACTTTTCATTGTACATCCTTACTCATAAAACTATGTATGCATGTGCATGCCTTTGTGTGCACATATATGACTCCACTGAGCTGAATAGAACTTCATATACAAATAATACTGGAGTTTAATACTTGGATTGTGTTAAACAGAAACAATGTCAACAGTAGGGACATGACTGCCAACACATGAGAGCTGTCACCAGGACAGTTTTCAAGTGAAATATGTTTTACCTGCAGTCAGCGCTACATCATTCAGTTTTGCACTGGTGTGCATGAATCACTAAAACCTTCTGCATACTATATTCACATGTCAGGATAATAGCTCCTGCACATACAGAAAAACTATAAATAGGAAGCTTTTCCTCTGACAGCAATGACTTGCACGATAAGAATAATGTAGTGCTGTACTGAGAAATGTAAAGAAGGAATGATCTGTACACATCTTTTGAAATATGAACATTCATATTATAGCAATCTTCATGATCAATTGACAAGAAAAGAACTATTAAATAATGTTATTAGACTCCTGTTTTACCCCACTTGCCATGTGGGGATGATTTTATAAGAAGCCTGTTGCTCTCTTTTGTTCTGTACAAAGCTTGTGGGAAGGTCAGTAGTAACTTGGATGAGATTCTTAGTGATTTTTCTGTAATTTTCTAGACTGTCCTACAAGTGAGCAGCATAAAGACCTTACTAAAAATGATGGCATAATTACTGATGTATTGGGATTTATGAAGAGATTCCTTGCAGAGCAAGGACAACATCTAACAAATTCAATGGCCTGCCAGCTTATTTTAAAGGGAGAAAGTGGAGATCCTTCAGTGTCACTTGTACACTATTGTATGTAACTTGTATGGTAACTTTTGGGAAGGATGAAGGAGACTTCCTGCCTGTTTAGACCATGAACATAAGCTGGCAAATTAATCTTAAAACACAAGTATGTTAATATGCACGCAGGTGAGCATTCACGTGGGTTTTGTTCTCTACTCATTGAAGCAGCAGAGAGAGATTAGTTTGTGCTGGGTCTGAAACTGCAGTGTTCCAAGGGTAACCAGCATTTCTATTCACTCTTTCTTTATATAGTATTCTATGGACTTGATAGTTCAACAGTTAAACTTGGACTGTAATCTCTGGAAATCTTTTTATGAGAGTTATTTTGCAGTAAAACAACCAGCATGCTTTATAAATCTTGATGTGTCAAGGGAAGGTTTCCTGCTTAAACACCACCAATCAGGATTTACTCTTTAGGTATAAGTAAAATATGTGCCTGAATTACTGGCATTATTTGTTGGACATCTAATTGTTGGACATTAGATAATATTTAGTTACTGTATCAAGGTTTCATTTTGGCATTTTCCAGTCAAAGACAAAATCTAGTTTTGGATGTTTTTTTCCAGTTGTGATTGAGGCCCTTCTCCTTTAGCAAAAAACCCCAGGTATTTTGTGGCATGAATGCCAGCCTGTTCATTAGGGATAACAGGGAATCTGTGCTTGTAGACTGTTTAGCACCTAAAGTGTGGTTATTCCCTTTCCTGCTCTTTGAACAGTGCATACCATGCTGTGGCACTGTCCTCAGAGCTGTCAAGCCTTTGGGGCAAAACTCATCCTTTGCTCAGAACAGCCTGTGTTAGGAGAGAATCTGTGGGTACAGATTCCAAAATTGTAGGTGTATTATAAAAAAAAGCAGGTTTCAGTCTGCTCTGAAATTGGCTGCTAAATATGCAGGGATGACTATGTTGATGCCAAGGGATCTGGAGAGGAAAGGTATGCTGGAACTGAGTATTTTGCCTGTGTTCTGTGATCCTGGACTCCTGTGCTGTGTCTGAGGTAGGTGGCTGTGTGAGTCTCTTTGTCTCTTTGGTTGCACTGATAATTGCCAGTGAATGCTTATAGAGAAGGCAGCCACCTCCTCTGCCCAGCCTACTGAACTGGTGTGGGCAGGCAGGGGACTGCTTCCATTTAGGAGAAACAGCACTTCATGGTCCCTCTGAGCTCCAAGGATGTCTGGGTGATTTTGCTATTTCCTTCATGGTTTTCATCTCAAGAGTATTATTTTGGTGCAAGTTTTTAAAGCCCTATGTCTTGGTTTGAAAGACAGGTGTCTGCAGGAGCAGCAGGGCAGGAGCCTCCCTTGGAATGAAAAATGTAAACCTCTTCCCTCTGAACTACTGTAATTTTGAAATCATGAGGCTCTCAGGCAGAGATCTGAGGATAGGAATATCAGTTCTTTACTAGTGTGTATAACAAGGCAAACAAACAACAATAACTACAGCATTAACAACAAAACAGAACCGGGGGCCTCATGACAGCCTTCTTGGCCGAGACAGGAAAGGATGGAGGAGAGGCTTTGCTTCACAAACCCCCTGTGGGCACTGGATGGACTCTATGGAACACCCAGCTGGAACAGCAGGAATGAGCAGAAATCCCGGGCCAGTGGACGAGGTGTATCAAACTCCACAGTGGTGGCTGGCACTGCAGGACTGAGCAGAAATTCCCAGGCTGCTGGATGAGGTGTATCAAGCTCCGTGGTGGTGGCTGGCACTGCAGGACTGAGCAGAAATTCCCAGGCTGCTGGATGAAGTCTGTCAAGCTCTGTGGCGGTGGCTGGCACTGCCACACGTCCCAGCAGGACAGGAAGGGTGTGGGGGCTCCCAGATGAAGAACAGAAGAAAAAGGAAGCAGCTCTGTCTGGGTCATGGCAAACTCCCTTCTCCCAGTAACCACAGCTCCAAGTGTGTCCTGCTCTGGAGCTCCAAGAAAAAGCAGCCAGCCCCCAGCTGCCTCTGCCCCCTGTTTTTCCTCCTGTCTCCCCTCTGGGCCCAACCAAACTCCCCGTGTTTATCAAGAACCCAATAAATACCAGGTTTCCCCGCAACTAATTAATAAAAATCCTATAGGTGAGAAGGAACAAAAGGAAGGACACCTAACCTCCAACACCCTAACACTATACCCACATGCACTGGTGATAACACCATACACTGTCCAGTACACTGACTTCCTGATTCATAAATGTTCATTAGTTTGTATCATGGACATTAATCCCATAAGCCAGCTCCAATCAGCCACTGAATTTGGGCCAGATTTAGCAGGGGAACCAAGTTCTCTTTGAGTGCAGGTCACATAGAGGAGAAAAGGCAGGTCTTAAATCAGTATGTAATTTAACTGTTTTGGTTTTCTTGAAGCCTTGAAGCAATGCAATGCAAGTTTTTCGAAGCTGACATAAGAAAATATTGGATATGCTGCCAAGTCCATGTGGGTGGAGAAAAAAAGGAGGTGTTACTGATTTTTATAAACACTTGTGTTCTGAAGAAAGAAAGGAAAAAAGGAACAAGACTTTCCCAGTGGTTCTCTGAGAATGTAAATGCCATGAGTATTTTGATTAATGGCAGAAATGGCATTTCCTGTGTTGTCTTTATTGCTCAATTGCCTTGTCCTAGTTACATAAGTTGTATTTTATCAACTGGAGCAGATGAATAAAAAACCAGTTGGAGAACTCTACGAGTCTTCCTCATAATTTCCAGCTGAATTACTCATACTCACAGCTGTGTGAAAAGAGAGATCAGGTATTCTGCATCAAAGCATTGAAGTTGCATCCTTTCACCTGTAAACTGAATATTTTGCCTTATATTTGATGATATATAGGTGGAAAACTTGAAAATTAGCACAAACATCCATCATTTTCCACAGAAACAAATCTCAAAAGTTTTTATCAATTATGTGACTTTTTTTTATCTTTGATAAAACCTTATTTCTTGCACTGGTTGGAGACAAATTAATTGTCACACTTATATTTACACTTCATGTGGTGAGGGATGCTTGTCACCAGCCTATATAAACCATTTGCTTTACAACAATATATTGATCAGCCCAATATAATGTTTTATTTATGCAGCCAAATCTAAAAAAGATACTTTTTATCTGTGTAGATGATTAATTACGACAGACGTTTAGACAGTATTCAGGTAATTTTGAGTTCTTTAAAAGATGACAGTAACTTTTAAAATATTTGGCAGTGCACAGTGTGACCTGGAAGTGGAGACTCTAGTGGCTGTTCACTTTGAGTCACAGGAGGAGAGGCTTGGAACTGCCTGGACTCACAGCCCTGTTTGCTCTCCATTCTGGTCCTCTTGCTAGGCTCATACAAGATGGCCCTCTAAAGATGCTGTGTAGTTTTTATTAATCTTTTTAACCTGGCAGCAAGAAATTAAATGACATATCCAGTTATGAATTACCACTGGTCTGTGACAGCAGAGAATGCCCTTGATTGTCACATGGTCCATGTAATCTTAGCCAGCAAGGGCAAAGCCCTGAAAGTACTCTGTCTACAAAACAGAGAACACATCTTCCTCCAGTCACAGGTTGGACCAAACCATTTTGTTTTCAATTCACCCACTCATCCCCACCAGTTTTCCCAGGTCTTTTGATCTCCCTTTCTAAGATGTCACAAAACTGAAAAGGGACCAAGCATTAGCTAAGGTGCCCACTTGCAGGTGCTGCGAGTGCCTCTGACCACAACCACTTCCAAAGGCTCAAATGCAAAACATGAACAATGCTTGTTCAAAACAGCTGGTTTTAAACTGCAAAAAAGATTAAAAAAAAAATAAATCTGGTGTTCCCATACTGCCTACAAACAAAAATGCATTGGTAGCTCCCCAGTTACTGCTCCCCAGTCACCATAAACACACTATCTCCTACTGGGGCTGCAAACTGGGAGGGAGAGCCTGCAGCACAGTTGTCTCAGCCAGGAATGGGCAACAGTGGCTGGAGCAGTAACCTCTCCCATAAGCACGTGTGCTCCAAGAAGAGGACAAACAAAAAAATTATTATTTTGGGAGGTACCACAGCACCGCCTACCTGTGCTACCTTTTCCCAAGCCTCACTCACTGTGCTGCTTCACCCAACCCTTATGCAAATAGCCTGCATGAAATTCCATGATGGTGCAATCCAGCTGCTGACAGACAGCTGGGTCCCAAGATCCATTATCCACACAGCTGGCCTCTTCAGTGGCAGCATCAGCAAAGATGCCAGGGTCTGAATGGTCACACATCTCAAATGGAAACAGATGCTTGACCTCCAGAATTGACTCAGTTACTGATGGAAAAATATTAGTGCATGAATTCCTTAAAACCTATTTCTCCATCTTTGAGGCCTAATGAATAATGCAAACAAGGATTCACAATTGATGTATTACAAAAAACAGCAAAACACATTCTAAGGTCTGTTTTATAGAGAAGATTGTTTCAGCAACTCCACCCCAATGTGCTAGGCTGGAATCTCCAGCTTAGCCTCTGCACAGGGCAGTATCTCAAATGTTGCACTCAAGCTGCATGTTTCCTATTCTTGTTTCTCTGTGTTTCCAGGACTATTCATCCAGCTTCCAGAACAGTGCAAAAATTCATTTTCAAAACAGAAACATGTAAATTAACTCTTCATATTAAATTCATATTTGTTTTCCCTTCAGGAAACTCTGCACTCAGTATGCCAGACACTATTGCTAATTTACCAAGCAAATTCACTCAAAGAGAGAATTATTGCAAAGCAGACTGGAACGACTTCCTGGAAATCACTTGGGTTTTGTGCATGGCATTGGTTCTCCTCAAGGCCAAGGAAGAAGGGGGGGATGGAGAGCCCAGTCATAGGCAGAGCCACAATGGAGTCACATCTTCCCAGAGCAATCCACTCCTGTTCAAAGCACTCTGGCAGAACCAGAATGTCTCTTTCCAGAGCACACTGCAGGATCAGGATCTGTATCCATGAAGATGTATCAGTTGAGCACTGTCACAGTGTGCTGCGTGATGGAGAAACTAGCCCTCACTAACAGCCATGGCGTGCAGGGACACAACTTTAAACACACCTGTGTCTCTAGAGGGGCAGATGCATGCCAAGACTTAGCAACACCACCCAGGAACCTCACTTCCCCACACTTCCAGCAGAGCTAGGATTTGGAGACACAGATTATTTGCAATTACAGGATAGCTAAGGATGCTATATTAAAAACCACCCAAACAAACCAAAACAACAGCAATAAAAAAAAACACCAGGCATTTTAAATGCCAAAAGTGAATCTCTCCTTTTGAGATGGCAGTTCTCACCACAAAAATCCAACCCCAGATGACAGACTGCTAGGAATTTTTTTATCTGATGTAATCTAAATATAACAATTTATTTTTGTTATGATATGGTTAAAAAAAATCCACTCAGGAGAATATATCTGAAGCCAACTTCCAATTGGCAAATTTTCCTTTTTTATTCTTTAATTGCCAAGTTGTTATCATCCTGTAATCCCTAAAGACTCTAAAAGTCTTTATGATTTCTGAACATACTTTAAGTATGTTAACATAACACAGTCTTAACTACAGAAAAATAATATTCTGGTGTTTGAGCACACTCAGTTCTTTTGGTTGACACCAGATGTTAAAGTAGCCACAAATTCCTAAAGTTGCATGTTCTTCTTTATCAGAAAAATAGTTGTTTCCAAGAACAAAACAAAAAGCTCCTGTGTCAGCTGGTCTTCACCACTACAACCACCTGATCCAGGAGACAAACCATGACTTTTCTGGTTTTAGACACTAAATAAACTTTTATTAAAAAGAACTCTTTCATTTAGAGCAGCAAATCTATTGCCATAGCATGTTTTTTTTCATGGTGATGATAGCAGAGATGAAAATTGAGGGTGGAAAAAGAGGAGTAATTGCAAGCTCATTAGATAATCTGAACATAGTGCAAATGCACTGAAGATAAATTTAATGAGCATTAGGAAAAGTAAACTGAGCGAGAAGTTCACTTCATGTTCTTCTTCTCTCAAAATAAAATCTTTACTATGACTACTAAAGTCTTTTCCCTCATTCCATCTCATGAACTGAAATAATGACACACTTCTTTTAGACAAACATTGTCCCTGTGCTCAAGACCTAAGAACTTTTATCTTCTTTTGTCTTACACTGCTTGTAGGGAATTAGGACATCAACATCAGGGCCAAATTCCCCTGGGACAGTTGTCCATCAGGGAGGAGGACAGCAGGTTCCTCAGCCAGGTGGCACCTGGGCAGCTTGAATGTCTACCTCACACAGCTCCATGCAGTCACCCACCCAGACCCTGAGCTGCTCAGAAGGAAAACATTTAGCTTGGATTACACATTGCCCATGACTTATTGGGCCTGTGTACAAAGAAAGGATTTGTGTGCATCCCAATTCCCACGACATTTCACTCAGATACTTCTGAAACTATCAGCCCATAGGTTTTGGCCCCTACATCCACACCTGCAAGCACATGGAAGGCAACAGATCACTTCACAGAAAAGCCAAACATTTGTACTCATTCTCTTGAGGATCTAGATTTTTCAGACTAGCAAGAAAGATTTCATGCTCTAAAGCCATCCTACCATCTAAACTATACAAACTGTAGTTGACACCACAGATCCAATGAACTTGGAGATGCATCACCTTACAATATATCACAAAAGAGTAGAACTTTTTGTTCTGAAAGACAAGTAACATTAACAAAAATATCCCCTGCAGCATTAATTATAGTGAGAAGAACAAAGAAGAGGATGTTGGAAGCTGGGAGTAAGCCACATTATCTGTGAGGCACTGTGTCAGCACAGTAGTTTTCCTCCATAGTGAGTGCTGAGGAGTTTTGGGCCCATCTGCCCGTGACAGAGGTTTGATGTAAATTCCTTAAATATCAGTACATCATAGAGAGCTGGCACAAGAATGCACAAAAGAAGCTTGCTACTCTTGGAAGCTGTCAGTCCCAGCTGTACCTCTGTTCCAATTAGCCGCTTCATGAACTTTTGTCACACAAGAAGGTTTTCTGAAAAAATAAATACATGCTCTGATTAAGTAAATTGTGAGGAGTTAATTTGCAATTCCGCAGTCCCCAAGGGACTCAAGGACCAATCTCTCTGGTGTTTCATCTACAGTAATTTAATAACTTACATTGTAAGACCTATGGCCTACAATGAAGATACCAGGAGAAATTTTGAGTATATTATTCACCCTAGTGCCACAGATTGAAAGGCACTACTAGGCCAACTAAGGCAAACAAGATCTAGCAGTCCCATTACCTGATCCAGTGATTAGTACCACAGGCTGGGATCAGCTCCCCAGCTAACAGCTTCCACCAGCAGGTTCAGGTCAGGCTTGCAAAAAGAGGCAAAACCAAGGATGTTCCTCCATTCACATTCCAATTCGCTAAAATTCACTACACAATTTAAATCCCTGCTCTCACAGACACCTCATAAGGTGAGCCTCACAGATTCCCACATTTCTGCTATTCTAAACACCTTGTCCTCTGCTCCATTTGGGGCTATATTTTTTTAGTTTGTTTTCTTCCAATATCTCCTTCCTTTGATTGCCTGGAACTGAGTTTGTCATTACTATTTCAAAAAAGTGTTGCTCCAGCTTTGCTGCATTTCAGAGCTCTGAACAGCAAAGCACTCTTTTAATGTAGAGTGCACTTGATAATAAGATTAATAAAAAAAGTCAAGTTTGTTTT